TAATTTTGGTCTGCAAACTTAGGTTGTTAACCATCCAGAAGAAAAGCTTATTGTTATTATCAAACGATTTGGGCTATCAATCTTAGCCTCACTATCTCACTGCATTTCAAACATCTTAGGCATAATAAGGAACAGGTATTTTTATTCTCCCACTTTTTAAAGCAGTCATGTGGGAAGGCCTGAGAAAAGCATCACAAGACACTTGCATCATTGATGCTTTTTTTCTTCTGCGAAACTCTTGACTTTGGCTCAGGTCAGGGTGTAGCTCAGTGGTATAGTGCTTGCATAGCATGTATGAGGTCCTGGGTTCAACTCCCAGCATCACACATACACAAGTAAGTTACTGCCTCATGAAAACAGCACAGGTAAAAAGTGATAAAATATGTAAATGGCCATGCACAAATTTCAATTTGACCTGTAATTCACTCATTTCAGCAATTACCTGTTAAGTCAACTTGGATTTCTAAAAAAAAAAAAATATTGTACTGAACCACAAAACTAAATTATAAACTTAATAGATCATGTTTTTTTGTTTTGTTTTGTTTTGTTTTTTAAGACAGTGTCTCACTAAGTAGTTCAGGCTGGTCTTGAACTCACTACCTAGTGAAGGGTAGCCTTGAATTCATGGGGATCCCCCTGCCATAGCTTCCCAAGGACTGGGATTACAGTCATGTGCTAGCATGCCTGCCTTAATAAAACATGGTTATGAGAGACAACCATGTAAAGCTGAAGTAGTGATTATAGATAAAGTGATGGCAACTGTTCACTGATGCAGAGCACTGTTAAAACTTTTTTCTCATTTAGTCATTACTCTTACTCTGTAACTCTTCATCTTCTGCAAAAGTTGGATTATCCATTAGATACTGCTGGGCCTCTGACCAAGTAGTAGAGTACGTTACATTAGCCATATTATCAAGTATGTTTTTTAAGGCTTCCCAATTTCTCTTTCGCAACTGCTTTGCTTGTTCCTAAAACAAAAACAAAATAGGTCTATAAAGTTCAAAGAAACTAAGATATTTACTTGTAATTACTGAAAGTTTCCTTACATTCTGAGAAATCAATTTCATATATTATACATCGATCTTTAATATCTATGCTATTTATTTTGCTCAGGTTGTTGCCTATGTGCTTGAACTTAAGCGTCAATTTTTCACCTCTCCAAAGGCAGCAATTTGAAACTAAATTTGTTTTCTCCTCATCCCACAAACTGCTCTTATCATCACTAAGTTATTGTGAACAAACCACCCAATGGGTAAATGCTAAGGATCATACTGATCTTCAGATCGTGTATATATTGTGTAACACTTGCAATCCTGAATTTTCCTTCAAAACTGGACTACACAAAATTAAGGAACATAATGAAAAATAAATGAATAAGCAAATGTTTTAGAATCCTATTGGGAACAATAGCATTTTACTGCCATTCTTGAAACAGAATGATCACAGAAGTGAAAAACACTATTTCAGAAACTATCATGTGAAAATAATTACTTCTTTTCCAAAGTGGCTATCCAAAGTGGGTATATAAAGCAACCAATTAATGACAATTAATACCTAGTGTGACTACTTCATTATTTGTTAGGTGAAGAGGGATGAAATTTATTATTATAAGTTATCCATTTTGCGTTTAAGCCTAACTTCTAATAATCAGATCTCCTGCATTATATAAACTAGGTAAACTGAGCAACAAAATGGACATAATAACTCCATTTTCTTATAAAATGCCTTTCTATAAATGCCATTAAGAATAAATGATACCTTTTCTTTTTTTGACAGAAAGAATAAAACATCCTCATAGATTTCAAGACGATCACGTTCAGATATTGCATTCCAGACTTCCATCTCTCCAAACATTTGTTCTGCTTTTCTAGTCATTTAAAAATAAATGTTACTTTTCAGTTACAGTAGTCTCTTAATATTTTGTGGGTCAACTTTTGCAGGTTTTCAAAAAATATTAATCTAAATTATTTATTGCAGATTTTTTGTTATATTGTAGGTTTTTGCGGTACTATACAGTATACATACACTGTTAAAATTTTGTGGGTTTATGAGTTTAGAAAATGTTTAAGAACATTAGAAGTGTTTTTAAGTGTGGGAAAGGCTTGCAAAGCCTTAAAATATGTATAAATACTAAAATAAATGTCGCACTTTGCTGCTGATTTTCACTCATCACAGGGATGTATGGAACATAACCTGTGATAAGGGAGGGACCACTGTATTGTAAATAAAACTAAATATAAATATTAAAATTTCACTAGGTTTAAAACTATTATGTGAACAGTCTTTTTCACTCAAGTTCATAAATGCATTAAAAAAGACAACTTTTGAATGGCAAAGAAAAAACAATGAGGTACTATTTCTCTGGAAACAGAAGCTCATTCCCACTGGGCAATGTTTTGTGAAATTCCAAGATTTTAGAAGTAGTCAGAAATGTACTTAATACATAAAATATGACTACATAAAGAAATAAAGTCCTTCACTAAGGTTTTTTCTAGTAGAATGAAGAAAATAAGCCTACTGGGAAAAGCTTAATAACATAAAATTTTTAATATTGAATTATTAAATATAATAATTTTTATACATTAAAATTGGAGTAATAGCTCAGGGGCACAACTTTTTACCATCCAAAAGTTGACTGGCCAAACAGAGATCAGTTTTGATTCTCTGTATCAAAAAAAGAAAGAAAAAAGGAAAAAAGGATGCTACACACAAAAGTTGATCAAATACACAGTAAATGTTGAAAGTTTTTTATAATGAAAGATACATTGCTATTCTCTTCAAAACAGCTTCTCCTTCTAATACACTTATCTCAACATTTATGCTACTTTCTAAGGTAGTTCTGTAAGTCTTCTTAAGTGTATCTTTAAAGGTTATGATAAAAAATACAATTAATGCTGCCATACACACATAGAAAGGTAGACTCATAAAAACATTACAGCATGTCCTCATGCACCTTATTCACCGAATCTGGCACTGTGTGACTTCTGCCTCTTCCTCAAAATCAAAATGGGCATGAAAGATAAAGATAAATGTTTTGAAGCAATTCAAGACATTAAGGTGGTCATGACAGCACAACTTTAAAGACTCACAAAAAAAGTCATCCAGATCTGTTATCTGAAGTTAGATCTGATAACTATCTGAAACAAGGGAAAATATTTTATGGGTGATTAATGGCAATGTGTTTTATAATTTTTAAAAAAAATTAAACATTAACCACATTTTTCAATACTATGTAAATGCAAATTTTTAAAACACTATACTTAGCAGGTGATTTCCATCTCATAAATATTAATTTCAATCTTCTTATGAATTAGAATGAAGTCAAGCTTGACTCAGTCCTTTTCCCTTTGCCTTCTAGTGTCTAATTAATAATTCATAAAGACTAAATTTCACACAACTGCTGATATATCTTGCACTTTATGAAAGTGCCACATTCACTGTGTAAAGCTACCACACTTACAATCATCTACCTACATTTAACATATCTACTGTAGATTACTTAGTACATTTCGCAAAACAATACAGTAATCATATTCCATGTATCATTTAAAATCTTACTTATATCTGGTTGTAGAGGTCATTTTCTCATGATTTTCTAGAAAACGCTGAAAGGATTCCTTAGCTTCTTTGTATTTTGATCTTGCTTCTTCTTTTTCCTCTTTCTCTGTCTGTACTTTATAGGCATTAAAGGCCTGCTTTTTCTCACTCAATTTTGCTAACGCACTAGATAATAGAGAAATATCAACAGCATATATAAGTAAACAAAGCCACCAGAAGCAAATGTTCCTGTACTGACAAACAACAGTACCATTATTTTCATGTATACATCGTAATAATTGGTTCTAGAACACAATTTTTAGTTTTAAAATAATCCTAATCTCAATCCTATCAGTGTGATCAAATTGTATTACAAACCCTTTGGATTTCTCTGCTTTGTCATTTCTAAAATGATGGAAATATATGGATGTTAATGAAGTCGTACAATTTCAATAAAATTTTAAACGTGCTAGACTTTCTATGTACAAAGTGAAAAGTATATAAAAACTTGTAGTAATACCTGTATCGTGGATCATTAATGATCATCTTCATAGCTTGCTCCCATGAAGCATTGGATGGTACCCGCTGAAAATCATTTAAATAAAACTTTAAAATCTCACAAGTATAGAAAGTCCTCTAACAAAGAATCAAGTATAATACTCACTGCAAACATCAATCAATTCCCTTAGTAGAAGTTTTGAAAACTCCTAAAAGTTTTTTTATTGAAGGCAACTCTGTACTATTACCTATTGACTGAAAAACTGAAATTTAAACAGAATACATTTTTTAGACCAATGATTAAAAGAGAAACAATGATTACAAATAAAATGCCTAAATAACAAAGAAATGTACTTCCAAAATATCTTGTTCAAAGTTTCAGCAAAACAGAGACAAATTTAATTAATAATTAGCACATGATATTACCATTACCATAAGAGCATCAAAATGATGAAAAGTGAACTTTTATTAAGTATTAAATGTCACAATTTGTTAGACAAATACCTTTTCTTTTAGTAATTCTTTGAATGCCTGCTTTGCCTCTTCCTTCGTATTCCAAGTATAAGTTTTTTTTGCTGGTTGGTTCTCTTCCTCTTCTTTTTTGGGAGTAAAACTAGGGAGAAATTTAAACACATGATTTATAACTTAAACATTTGCTTCACTTAGAATTCTTGAACTCTTTATTTAATTGTTTGATGTTGAGCTGAAATTTGACTTACAATGAAGTTACCAAGAAAACATATTTATCTGAAGAAAAATTAAAGATAATTGTTTTTCTGCAACTTCAGTTATTAAGACTGTACAAGTATGAAAATAAAACTAATTGCACTAAAACACTAGCTCTTCTAGCCCACAGGTTATTACTTCTAAATGCCTTATTAACACTTTTATATTAATTAATACTTTAATAACTGGCACCCGGGTAAGTACATAAATTCTGAAAAAAAGCTAAATCAGGGTCAATAATGATCACCTCACCACATCTAGCCCAGTTATCTTTATAAATGTTACAGTCTTACTGGTTTTCAAGAAAGTTGTGTTTTTAAAATTTGCAGAGTTGAAACCCAAATAACAGTAATAAATAAGGAAAAACACAACTTTAGTAATACTATTCTATTTGATAGGATAAACTAATACTTTAGTTGATTAGTTTGTTAACAATAACAAGTGCTGAGCCATATGAAGATAAAGAAAAAACCCACAACAAAAAACCCCCAAACAATATCCCTCTTTTATTTATTTAAAATGTAAGTACTCTGTTAACCATGATTTTACATTGGTTTTGAGTGCAGATATGACATTCAAATGATATAGCTTGGCATTCTTTTAAAATTTAACTTACTCGTTCACAGGTCTATCCCCTAAAACTTTTACGAACTAGTTTTGTGGCATGACATGCCACCATGAACAACTTTCTAAAAGTTTAAATTTTGATTCTCAAAACATTTTTACTTAACAGCCATTGACTAAATCAGGATTTCTTATTAACTAAGTCTGACAATGAATTTCAAAACAGAAGTTACTATACTTACTCCGCTACAGCTTCCAGCTTAGATGTTTCTTCTACATTACTAGATACTTCAACACTTAGATCCTGAATAGTAGAGGTATTAGTAAGCTGTGCTTGTTCTTCAGTTGAAATAGTTACTGTATTTTCATTATCTACAACAGTTGCAACAATGGAAGTAACTTCAGGTTCAGGAACAACTGGAACAGTTCCCACACTATTAGTAGTAGAAGTGGAAGCACTAGCATTGGCTGCTGCTGCAGCTGCTGCAGCTGCAGCTGCTGCAGCAACAACAGCAGCTGCGGCTTCTGCAGCAGCCATGGTGGTCATAGTAGTAGGAATTTCTGTTGTAGGAACTGGAGCTGCTGATGTGCTGCAATCTTCTTGTTTGCTATCCATTACAAAAAAAAAGAAAACAGGTCATTTTCATTACTGTAATTACAAAGCTAAATAAATCCAGTTTTCAGATTAATAATATCAAATGATTAAAAACTGAGAGGAAAAATTTCTAGTGATGATAAATTAGTAAGTTATTTAAAAAGATCACAATCAAGAATGAGACAGTATTTATTCTCCTCCCCCATCTTGTCTCCAACTTGAAAGCTAAACTGCTTCTCCCAATTTAGTCTACAGAGTATAGTTCTGACTACAGGAGGATGCCATCATACTCTGCTGCTATATCATTGTTTTAATTTAGCCAAACTCACATCCTCATGTATAACAGGTACTCATACAATGTCAGTATTTCCCAAAGTTCTCCAATTACTTTACAAAATGCCCTATTAGGTTATGTTATACTATGAAATCTGACAAATATCTGTTAAAGAGTTTTAACTGTTTTGCATTTATTAAGAGGAAACGTAGAAAGGAAGACATATATAGGTGTATTTCATTTGAACTTGGAACTCAAAAGAAACTGTGGAAGTTTCTAAAACAGTTAGATGCAACCCAAATTAAAACACTATTTTCTAACAGAGACTAAACTTGAGAAAAAATCTTTCCTCTTTACCTCTGCCCTGCAAAATCCTCCAAAGACAACCAACCTCCAGGGCTAACATGCTAAGCAATATTTATACTCTGAAGAAGGCTAACATCCAATCAAGTATATTACAGGAAAGATTAAATTTATAAATACAAATTGATTTCCAAAATTGCTTACCTGCTTTCTTCAGCTTTGATCATGGCTATTAAAGAGAAAAAAAAAAATTCATCTACTACTTAAGTTTTAAAACATAATCACTGAAAACAAACTTTTAAAAAAGACAGGAAAGCGTTATTCAATAGGATTTAATTTACCATCTGGAAAAATTTAAAAAAAAAAATCACTTTTACAGAGCAAATAGTGTCCATTTTCAGAGCAGTTATTAAACAATGAAAACAAATTTTAAGAAGAAAAGTTATTAGAAAAGTTTATTAAAAGCTTAGAGAGGCTGCAAGCCTTGCAAGAGTTCCCTTAAAATGTGTATCACAGGAGTAAAAGTCATTTTCCCCAGGGATTAGGTTTATTTTTATTTGCTTAAACATATTAAATTCTAAATGAGATCCAACTTATGAAACTCCAGCCCATTTTTAAATCTAACATTGACAAGTAGTCATGTACATCAACTATTTATAGTAGGGTTATATCAGAAATGAGCTCTGCATATAAATAAACTGAAAATCTACCTACCTACAATATTATTATTAGCCAATGCTAGTATAATTTAAATTAAGCTTTAAAGATGTGCACTCAGTATTTTTTTTCTATGTTAAATTTAAAATTTTGTAGTATTGAAAGTATCTTTTACTCAGCATCACTAAGGAATGAGGTACTCCACAAAATTGGTGATAAAAACTCAAGTCTTTATGAAAAAATAGGAAAACTATAGGCTTACTTAAAGGGAAAACGTTCTGAAAATCATTACTAATAAAAATTAACATTTTCTGATACAGTGATGATCTAAAATAATGAGGTACACACAGAAGGTAATTTGGGATGATCATACCTTTAAAAAATGTTTTAGTTTCTCCTGTCAGATATCATCCACATACTCTTACAGACTTTACTATGATCTGTTGCTTTTAATCTCATACAGTTTATAATACCAGGTTCTAATACAAGTGAGAATGAAATAGCAAATTCTCAGTTCTTATAATCTCATTATTTTCACTCCAAGTTTTATATTAAGTAATAAATTTTTCTTAGATGGCTATTTTGAGTAATTAGCAATGTTAAAATAGATACCCTTTTAAAGTTATGTGCAGTGGTCTATCTTCTTTCATAACAAACATATAGTTTATTTTGCAGTGGTATGCTAAAACAAAATCAGCACTAAAGGCAGACTGATAACATGCTAACAAATCCAAACTGATGAGTAGGCAAGGTGTTCCACCATTTAGTCCCATTACCAACTGGTTAAATCACATGTCTTATGTATGCACCAACACTCAAAGTAGGATTTAGAAATTCTGTATGTGATATCCAGTAAAGGTTTTCTTAAAAATGAAAGTACAACTTTAATACCTACAAGCTCATTTATAATATAACCCTTAAATGAAAGAATTGCTTTGAATTATTTTTTTTCACTGTAGATTTATCCAATTACGGTTAGTGAACATTAGTGACATAGTCTAAGAATGTTAAATATGACAGAAAATGAATTATCAAAGCAGCTCACCATGCAGGTTTGATTTTGTAATAAGACCTCCAGCAACAATGGTATTCTGGTATCCTAGTTTCAGTGGAATCAAATCAAATAAAAATCTATTTAAAATCTATAGAACTGAGATCTAGAGCAACAAGAACATAAGAGCCCATAAAACTTTTATACCATTTAACATTTACTAATTATTTAATTAAAAACATAAGGCCTTTGAATAATCCTATTCAGGAAGGACTATTTCAAAACAAATGACATACATATGTAGCAACTTTTCATTAAAAAAATTAATTTTTCCCACTTTACCTTCAAGATCCTCAAGTTCTTTAGGTTTGGCCCAGCGCGATTCTTTTGTTTGAGAATTATAATAATAAGGCTTTCCAGAATCAGACTTATATTCCTTCCAAGGGCATTTAGATAAGAGTTGCTAAGAGGAAAAAACTTCTGGTTAATAGTAATATACTTATTACCACTGATGATGATTACTTGGAGAAAATAACTTCTCCAAGGTAATATATCTCAGTTAAGGATCAGGGACAAAATTCAAAATCAAACTTTACCTCAAATCCTAATGCTATGTGCTTCTATTTACACCCTACCACATGGAAACATTAACATCCTTATTTATCAAAAGCATCTCTAATACTTACTATTTTTGTTTTTTAGGAAAGTTGTCTACATGGTCTCACTACTAGATTGGACTTGGAATAATCCGCCTGTTTACAGCCTCCCAAGAGCTGGGATTACAGGCGTGCGCCACCACACCCAGTCTCAGCTGTTGTCTGAGCACATCCTGGGGGCAGAGCCAGCAAAGCAGGCCCAGGGATGAACCCCGGGCCCCTGCATCTGCTTGCAAACCCTAATACTAATATGAGTAGGAACAACATGAAATTTAGAGAAACACTAACTCTGATTTAGTTATGTTTAGGTTCTAATTTAGTAATATTTTCTAACAACCCTATGCAAATTACCTTATAAGTAAACAAACAATAGGTATAAATTTAACTGAAATCTAACATATAAAACTTTAGAGTCTATATAAAAGTCAGAAAAAATCTTATTGTAATGGATAACTATCACTGACAATAAATTAGTAATGAGTTTAGTAAAAAAACATTCTATCCTTCCAAATACTGCTATTCACTGTATAAAGGTGGTAGCCTGCAAAGAAAACTTTTTACATTCTCAAATTCCTTATCTAAGAGAAGAAAACAGCAAAAAAAATAATCACCAGCTAGGAAAAACCTTAAGCATAGCTTGGAGTGCCAAATCAACTTACTTAGTACCTAGGGTTACAAACCACATGAAATAGTGCTGACTCAGCTCATTCCTTTTGATCTTAACTTTTACTGTTGTTATTTATGTATTTTGAAGTATAAGATCCACAACACAAAATATAAATACTTATTCTCCCAAGATATAAATATGTCTTCAGGGGCATGTTCAGCAAAGAGAAAATTTACTACACTTAGAGAAGGAAGTATTATAGATAATTTATCTTCACTATCTCATATTTTTGGAAAATTTTAATGAAATGATAATCATTTAAATCATCCAGTGTTCACTATAAAAACAAAAGTTTGAAATATGAAACGAAACAGAGAACACCTGTTTCTCATCCAATTTATTTTTTAAATCACATCAGAGAAGGAACAAAATTATACAAAATTAGTCTGCATGCAAATGCAGTCAGGCGCAGGATACTGCAGTTCGATCCCCACCTCCACCTGCATTACCAGACCTGCCCTTAAGGCAGCCTGAGCCAGTCCAAAAACAAACCACCAAAATTCCCTCTCAACTTTTGGCCAGGGAGATAGCTCAGTAGAATAAGTGCTTGCCTGGCAAGTACACCCCGGTACCACCAAAGGAAAAAAAAAAAAAGGCTGTCTACAAAAGAAAATTATTTCTATTATTGTTGTAATTTTCTATTACTGCATTAACCTCTGACTTTCTTTGGAAAACCAAATACCAAACTGTAACAACTATGTCCCAGTATACTCAATAGTCCTTGATTTAAAGTTCTGAAAGTTTTACCTCAGCAGGCGTTTTAAGATCATCTGGTTTCTCCCAGGTGGACTGTTTTGTTTCAGTATTGTAGTAGTAAGTTCTTCCATCAGGTGATTTATGTTCAGTCCACATTGATTTCTGAAGAAAAACAGCCGATATAAATTATGTAAAATGCCACTGACAGAGAATCAGTACATCCTTTGCGTTAAGACAATATATGTATTTAATATAAATCAAGGCATAAATTAGGCATACTTTAAGAGTACTAAGGCATTTACAATCTGTCAGTGGAAGCAGAGAGGGAACTAAGGAGAACATTTTTCAAGAACAACAAAGGTAGTATGGATCAATTTTAGTTTAAGGGCATTTCTAAGAATTTGAAATGAGAATTCCTTTGAGAACAATAAAATTTAAACTTTTTTTTTATATGAGACAATTTTCCAGTGACACCTATATAGAGGGAAAGAGAATATAGTATACAAACTAGATACTAACATCAGTTGACTAATAATGAATGTATTTATCCATTCTAACCCAAAAAGTAAGTAAATGCACTTAGATAGAGCACTGAACTGGTATCCCACAAAGATATACCTCTCAAAACTGGCTTCTACATAAAAATCAAAATTTAACTAGAGCAAGATGAAATTTAACAGGGATAAAATGTAAAACCAAATGCCTCAAAACAAGAAGCAAGTTTTATGTGAAACTAGTTTGAGACAGAATATAAACCTTAATCAAGGTTTCAATAGTTATCGCCATTTTTCTAACGAAATTCTGAGTCATCAACTGATGGTTCAAATTAAGACTGGTGAAAAAAAAGGTTTAACAAGCTATCATGAACGAATGAGTTACTAGATAGCAAAAGTAATGGTTCTGTGTCATGGGCACCGGATTTATTAGACTGTAACTACGACTGAAGGAGGGCTATAAAGATGATCCACAGGATATTTCCTTAAATCCAAGTATATACACCTAAGGAAAAAAAATTCAGTCATTGTCATTCTCTCATATTCTTTCTTTTTTCCTTTTTTTTTTTTTTTGAGGAACTGGGGATTGAACTCAGGCCCTAGCACTTGCTAGGGAAGCTCTTATTCTACTGAGCCATCTCCCGGCCCTCTCATTCTTTCTACCAGATTTTATTTTTTTTTATTTATTTATTTATTTATTTATTTATTTATTTGGTCTTGTAAGATAGGGTCTCACTATGCAGTTCAGGCTGGCTTTGAGCTCAATTTGTAGTCCAGGCTGGCCTTGAATTTGCAAATATCTTCCTGCCTCAGTCTCCCAAGTACTGAGATTACAGGCATGCGCTACTGTGTCCAGCTTTCATCTATTCATGAAGCAATTTCTTCTTATAATTTGATTTTTATCAAATATCAAGAAAAAAATTTCCTGAGCTTCTTCAGAGAAACCACCGTCTGTATTAGTGACTAAGGTTCATTATATTTCAATGCCATCTTCTGGTATATCAACAATGTCAGTAACATGCTCTTTCTTTCTTCCTAGCATCCTTTTGTACTTATTTAGTGCTGACTTACCTTTTCTTTCTTCCTTATCAACTTTACTGAATAAGAGGTAACCTACTTTTGATTTCTTCTCTGGCAATGTGGCTTAATGCATGTAATTTATTGCTTTTCCTATTTTGCTCATGATTATCATTTTACTACTAGAACGTTGTGCTATTATCTTGAGTTTTCTTTTTTTTTTTTTTTGAAACAGGGTATCAATATGCAGTTCAGGCTGGCCTTGAGTTCAATTTGTTGTGCAGGCTGGTCTCTAGCTTGCAACGATCCTCCTGCCTCAGCCTTCCAAGTGCTGGGATTACAGGCTTCACGGCTACTCTCAGACCTTGGTTTCCTTATAAACTACTGACAACATTCTGGCAATGTTGGTATTTTGCACAACTAAGCCACAATGGTTATATAATAATGAAACTCCTAAGAAACAGTAAGGTTATAACATTCTTCCTGACTGCAAATTTTAAGATGAAATAGAAACACTAATAGAAAATCTACTCACTTAAGAAACAAGTACAAATAGAGAACAAAGAAATGATTTCTTGGAGTGAGGGAGACGACCAGGGCCTGCGGGATCCTGAACAGACCCAGAGCACAGGCCCAGCGAGTGAGACCACCCAGGGCCCGTGGATCTTCAATGGACCCAGAGTGCAGGCCCAGCGAGGAACCCTTCAGCAGAACTCCCAGTAAAGAGGCTAGAGGCAAGACCTACCCAGCTGATTCAGGTTCAGAACATCTTGCCAGAGTGACACAAACGGTTCAACTTTAACGCCTGCAGCAGAAAGAAGTGGAGCACAGCAGCCAGATCCAAACAATATCCACCTGGAAGAATCTGAACTTCATAGATCCAGACCTGGTGCTAAGGTAATAACTCTATCTAAGCTCTACACCAAAGGTCAGAAGACAGTGGTATACAAAATGACAAA